TTTTCCAAGATTTAGTGACAGAAAATGTCCCTAATATGAGAGGAGAAAATTCTCATCCAAGAAGCTCAATCCCATTTAAGAAAGATCCTAAAAGACAGTCACCGGAACATATAATAATCAGACTTTTCAAAACTAAATACAAAGAAAGAATTAGGAGAACAGTTCATAAAAGGAAGTATCACCTACAAAAGGGGCACCAATAAGATTAAGCACTGATTTTTCAGCAGAAACCAGGCATGCAAAGACAACTATGAAACTATGAAGGAGAGGGGGAAAAGTCAACCAAAAATCATTTACCCGGCAAACGCTTGTTTCTGAGTGGAGAAAGACTGAAAGCATCCCCTTGAGAGCAGGAAGGAGACGAGAAGGCCCATTTTCTCTTAGGACTGTATTGGAAGCCAAAGCAGTAAGGCAAGACAGGGACATAGAGCGTCCAGATTGGTATTTTATTTTTGTTAAGCAAAATGAAATAACTCGAACCCACTGACATCAAGTGAATTCCAACTCCCAGTGACTGTGGAACTGTCCCATAGGGGTTCAAGGCTGTGCATCTTCACAGAACTGGCCAGACTCACCTTTCTCCCTAGAGTGGTTGGCTGGCAAGGGAGCTCTGGTGGCCTAGTGGTAAGGAGCTGCACTGCAATCCCAGAGGTATGCAGTTCTAATCCATCAGATGCTCTGCTGGAGAAGGAGGGGCAATCTCCTCCTGTGCCAGTCAGATCAGATGGTACACAAGAAGAAGGAAAAAAAGAGTGGCTGGTAGGTTTGAACTGCTGACCTTTAATTAAGAGCCAAAAAAAAAAATTTTTAGAAAAAGAGCCAAATGCCTTAACGACAGCACTACCAGAGAGCCTTTATTTGTCACCGTTGTGTGCTGCTGAGTCAAAACTGATGCATAGTTGATACTGCAGTGGGTTTTCAGAGGAGGAAATTGCCCATCCTTCTCCCTCAGAGCAGATGGTGGATTTAAACCATGTGCCTTCAGGATTGCAGCAGAGATTCTTACCACTAGGCTGCCAGAGCTCCCTTTATTTGCCATTAGAGAGATTGAAATCAAAACCACCATCTTACTCCTGCAAAAAATGGCACTGACCAAAAACGTTAACAAAACAACTAAAACCAGCCAGGTTATAGGAAGACTGAACTGCTGGTAGGACTATAAAATAGAAAACCACAGTATGGCACTTCCTAAAAATAAACAAACAAATAAATATATATAAATACTGTATGCTCTCCAGTAATCTCATTCCTAGGTATATACCCTAGAGAAATAAAGGCAGTGACACAAGTAGACACATATATGCCATGTCCGTCATAACGTTATTTCTGACAGCAGAAAGATGGACACAACCTATACGTCCACCAGTGGATGAATGGGTGAACAAAAAGTGACCCATACAGACCATGGAACCCTACATTACAACAAAAGCAATGTGTGTGCAAAGTATTCAGTCAAGTGAAGGAATGTGCTCCTTATAACAAATACACAAGTTTATACACAGGGATGAGAAGGGAGCCCAGAAGAAATTATAAACTGAGGGGAGTAAAATAGCAAATTCTGGCCAAATTTCTTCCAAGCCAAATTTGTTATTTCTTTGGCGGGGGGGTAAAAAACCCAAACAAATAAACAAAAACAACAGACATTTAGGCAACATTTGCCCAAAAGAAGAGAAGGCAAGGAAACTGGAGGGGCAGAAACAGGTCGGGGGGTGTCTATAACCTTGTGGAGGCAGCAGCCAGCGTCAAAGAGCAATTAGTGTAGGAAGTGTTGAATATGAAACTAATGTGTAAATCTTCACCTAAAGTGAAGCAATTGTTTTTTTTTAAAAAAAAAAAAATAATAAAACCCAACCAAAATACCCCGTTATGTTGAGTTAAAGACAATTTCTTCAATTAAATTCACAGCTGTTGGGTCAGAACCAACTCATGGTTGCCTCTCCAGTGATTTTTTCCAGAGTCTGTAAATTGCATGGGAGGAAATTGCCCATCTTTCTCCTGTGGGGTTGCTGGTGGATTCGAACCACTAGAGGGGCCATTTCTTGGATTAGCAGCACAACTCTCTATTGATTATGCCACTGATATTTTTACCTGACTTGATTAGTTTAACATAAGGTTGGTGTTGTTTGCTGTACTGTGGTGCCCACCGTGACTCACGATGACATAGGCCCATCAGAGCAGAACTGTGCCCCATGGGGTTTAAGTGGCTGATTGCTTCCAAAGGAGACCACCAGGTCCTTCAGAAATGGCTCTGGGGGAGACTTGAACTTCTAACCTTTCCGTTAGGTGCCAGTGAGCACATTAAACATTTGTACCACTCAAGGAATAGAACAGGGAACAGAGTAGGGAAACATTCGCTGGATCAGGTAGGGAGTCTGTCAGGGATGCATCCTGTCTCCATACCTTCTCAATTTATATGCAGAACAGATCATTTGGGAGGCTGGGCTTTATGAGAAAGAATGTGGCATCAGGATTGGAGGAAGACTTAACAACCACCTATGACATGCAGATGAGACAACCTTGCTTGCTGAACCTGAGGAGGACCTGAAGTGCTTGCTGCAGAAGGTCAAGGACTGTAGTCTTCAATATGGATTGAAGCTCAACATCAAGAAGACAAAGACTTTCACCACTGGGCCAACTGGCAGCACCATGGTGGATGGAGAAGAGATTAAGGTTGTTAACAATTTCTCAGTCCCACAATCAACACTCTTGGCACCAGTAGTCAGGAAATCAAATGACAAATTGCATTAGGGAAATCTGCTGTCAGGGACCTCTCTAGAGTATTGAGAAGCAACAATGTCAGGCTGGAGACTAAGGTGCGCCTGATCCAGGCCATGGTCTTCACAATTACTTGCTGTGCATCAGAGAGCTGGACAATGACTGGGGTGATTGAAGGAGAACTGATGCCTTTGAGTTGTGCTGGAGAAGAGACTTGAACATACCATGGACCACCAAGAAAACAAACAAGTCTGTCCTAAAGAGGATAAAAGCAAGTTTTTCCTTGGCGGTTAGGATTTTAAAGCTCGGTCTCACATACTCTGGGCATGTGGCCAGGAGGGATCAATCCTTGGGAAGGACATCATGCTTGGAAGGGTGGAGGGACAGGGCAGGATAGGAACACCCAAGATGAGATGGACTGACACAGTAACTGGGGCAATGTGGGTAGGTGTGTCCGAGTTAGTGAGACCGGCTCAGGACAGAGCAGAGCTCAGATCTGTTGTACACAGGATCACTATCAGTTACAGGCGACTCGACAGCACATAACAACAACAAACAATAACCACCACCCAAGGGCTCTGACTACAGAACTATAAACTACTAATCTATAAAGGTAGAATCAGAAAGTGTTTATCTTCCTGGAGTTGAAGGTAAAATGTCAACAAGGACATCTTCTGGGGTGAGAGGAATAATGTATTGATTTGGGCTTGACTGCAAGCAGGTAAATATGCTAAAACTTGTTGAAATGTCCACTTATGGTCTGCGCTTTCTCCTATAAGTAATGCATATCCCAATAAAAAGGTACAAGGAATCTGGGTCTCTGAAATCTCAAACCACCACACCCGCCCAGGGCTGCTTACTCTTACTTCTAAGTGATTGACATGACATAAACTTGGATTTTCTCTGGAACTGGACACAGACACACCTGTCAGAGCAAAGTCTGCCAACCTGACCAGAGATCAGCCGAATTAGCATTTCACCCGTCCTGCTTAAGCTGACACCTGCGTCATGACCTTGCCTGAACACCTTTCACAGCACCCTGCAGCCGCACCTTTCTTAAACGCTTCCAGACTCCTCAACTTGTCCTAGTCCCATTTCAGAAGAGGACACTTCCTCAGGTGGCTGTGCCAGCTGCTACCTGGGTGCTGCCTGCCCCTGACCGAGCCAGCCTGTAACTCATCTTCCACCTTCTAGACCCTTCCCTGCAGGGGCCTGTCTCAGGCCCGCACTCCACTCCCTCTGTCGCTCTCTGTCTCTGACTCCCTCTGTCGCACGCACTCTGTGTGTGTGTCCCTGTTACCCTGTCTCTCTGTTTCCGACTCTGTGTGTGTGTGTGTGTGTGTGTGACTCACTCTGTCGCTGTCTCTATGTGTGTCTCTGACTCCCTCTGTCGCACGCACTCTGTGTGTGTGT